CAGCCAGGAGATCAAAGCTGAGGCCCAGAGAGGGAAAGGGGCTTCCCCACAGGCCACGAAGCAAATGATATGAACTCGGATCTGAGGCTGAAGTCCAAGCACAAGGGGACCCTCACAGAGGAAAAGAATGAAGACGCCACCGTTCCCACCTCCTCAGCCGTTTGTCTCAAGTCCATCCAGGCAATTTAATGGTGGGATAACAACCCAAACTGCTCAGCCAGCTGCCCACAAGCTGGACGGACCTGTCACGAATCTGGGTGAACCCTGCGGCCACAGCACATCCAAGGATGCAGCGAGGGCCTGAGAAGTGGGGATGGCACCAAAAGAAGAAGGTAAAAGGGACAAAAATCCAGTCTGTGCAGAAGGAGGATGGGTGGGCCCAGCTTGGAGGCTGTTCATACAGAAAGACCTAGGATTTTAAAAACACTCTCTGAAAGATAAGTACATTTTAGCACAAGCATCTGACTGGACTCTAGCACTCAAGAGGTACATAACCAATGTCTGTTAAAGTGAAATACGAGTCAACAAGGTGATAGAGCAACAAAGCAAAGCTAACACAGCCTTAGGTCATATTAACAGAAGCACAGAGTGTACAGTGAGGAAGGTGACCTATACCTCACCAGCTCCTATCCTAGGCTCAATCCTAGGTCCTGAACAGAACAGAGTCTGGACAAACCAAGATAATCCAGAGGATGTGAGTGGTACGGAGACCACATCCAAGAGCAGTGGTCGGAGGAGCAGGGTGCTCAGCCTAGGGATAAGCACTGCATGAACAGACCTGGTCACTGTCCCCAGGTCTCTGCAAGGCTCCTCCAGGACAGGACGACCAGGTGGGGCTGTGAGCCCAGAGGGAGGGGTTGGGACCTTGCGGAGTCACCAGGGCAGATGCCACCTCAATATGTAAAGGAATTTTCTAAAAATGGGAGCTGCTTTGAGTGGTCATGAGCACCCTGCCATGAGAGGTGGCAAGCGAAGGTGTGGCAGAGGTGGGCTTAGATGTCTTTAGTTCAGAACCTATTAGTCTGTCAAATAATAATCTCCAAAGCACAGGAGGAAAATATTAGGTCATTATTTCTACTTAAGTTTTAGCTAAAAGTAGTTAAGAGTATATAGCTCAGGGCTTCCCTGGTGGCGCAGTGGTTGAGAGTCTGCCTGTCGATGCAGGGGACACAGGTTCGTGCCCTGGTCCAGGAAGATCCCACATGCCGCGGAGCGGCTGGGCCCGTGAGCCATGGCTGCTGAGCCTGCGCTCCGCAACGGGAGAGGCCACAACAGTGAGAGGCCCGCGTACCGCAAAAAAAAAAAAAAAAAAAAAGAGTATGTAGCTCAACCCTGATGTGCACCCTTGGCCATATGTCAGACACCCAGTGCCATGTCCATTAAGTGGGGTCTCCAGAGGCCAAAGGCAGCCCACAATGCAGACAGGTTTGCTATGCCCATGTCTTCTGTTCCTTTACATTCAGCCTACGGCTGTATACTGTAGTGTCCTGGTGGCGGGTTCGGTGGAGCTGAGGATCAAACAACACAGCTGTAACTGAATCAATCCCTGTAGTGTGGACAAGTGGCTTCTAAAAGTCCCTGCCAAGAAACTCCATGGATGGAGATAACGCTAATCGAGAAAGTGCAAGCCAGCGACAGGAAAAGTGTAGGACAAACCCACCACTGCTCCTAGTTCAAGCCCTGCAACAGCCACCCTAACGTTGAAAACAATAAAGAATGGCATCTCACATACACATTACTGCTGACTGAAATCACAGTAAGAAAACTCCTTGAAAGGTGGACTTCTATCCACTACTGTTGGTGATGAAATTCACTCCAAATATATACTGGGCCTTGAGACATTAGTTAATTGTCACAGTACTTGTATATAATTTCTAAATCCATATATATATATATACACACACACACACACACATATATATACATATATAAAATGTTGTGGGTGCCTAAACATTTTTCTTTTTTTTTTTTTAATTAATTAATTTATTTTTGGCTGTGTTGGGTCTTCGTTTCTGTGCGTGGGCTTTCTCTAGTTGCAGCGAGCGGGGGCCACTCTTCATCGCAGTGCGCGGGCCTCTCACTGTCGCGGCCTCTCGTTGCGGAGCACAGGCTCCAGACGCGCAGGCTCAGTAGTTGTGGCTCACAGGCTTAGCTGCTCCGCGGCATGTGGGATCCTCCCAGACCAGGGCTCGAACCCGTGTCCCCTGCATTGGCAGGCAGATTCTCAACCACTGCGCCACCAGGGAAGACCTAAACATTCTTCTTGAGCAGAGAGTGACATCAAAGTGTGACGGGGCTTCCCTGTTGGTGCAGTGGTTGGGAGTCCGCCTGCCGATGCAGGAGACGCGGGTTCATGCCCCGGTCCGGGAGGATCCCACATGCCGCGGAGCGGCTGGGCCCGCCAGAGTGGCTGGGCCCGTAAGCCATGGCCGCTGAGCCTGCGCGTCCGGAGCCTGTGCTCCGCAACGGGAGAGGCCACAGCAGTGGGAGGCCCGCGTACCGCAAAGAAGAAAAAAAAAAAAAAAGTGTGACAAACACACAAAAAAAGTGTGACACTGCTCCGGATTCTTAGACACAGCTAGACACTAGGGGGATGCTATTCCCTGTTTAGGTTTGGGGGTCTAATCAGATGTTTCGGATTTAGAGACGAAGAAAAACCAGGAGGGAGTGTGCTCCTCAATAAACTTTTTGAGGCCCCCAAAATGTTTGAAGAGGAATGGGAAGAAACCAAAAACTCTGAAAAGAATTTTCCCTGGCTCTGACTCTCCAAGGTGGGTGTCTCGTTAAACAGCCAGTGCCAGGCCAGGCTCCTCTTTCTCAGCCTCTCAGGCCAGTTTCTCTCTGTCTCTGTCTCTTCTCGCTCTCTTTTCCATCTTTTTCTCTTGGTCTCTCACATTCCCTCCCTCTCTCTCTCTCTCTCTCTCTCTCTCTCTCTCACACACACACACACACACACACAGACAACTGACAATAGCAAAAACCAGAAAGGAGGCACCCAGTGAAACAGAAAGAGCTTTCTGGCTCTTGAATATCAGACAGACCTGGACTCAGTTCCTAGCTCTACCCACCACTAACTGTGAGATCACTGCAAGTCTCACCCATTCTGGAAGCCTCAGAATCCTCCCCTGGAATGGGCACGCCTACAACTCAACAATAATATGACATCCTAATTTTAAAATGACCAAAGGATTTCAACAGACATTTTTCTAAAGAAGATGTACAAGTGGTCAATAGCACCTGGAAAGTTGCTCAGCATCATTAGTCATTACGGAAATGCAAATCAAAACCACAATGAGATACCACTTCATATGTGCTAGGATGGCTAAAATAAGAAATACAGACAATAACAAGTTCTGAAGAGGACGTGGAAAATTTGGAGACTTAACGTATTGTCAGTGGGAATGTAATATGGTGCAGCCGCTTTGGAAAACAGTTTGAGCTCCTTACAATGTTAAACATAGTTTCACCATAAGACCTAGCAAGTCCTTAGTATTATATCCAAGAGAACTGACAACCTGTGTCCACACAAAGACTTGTACATGAATGTTCACAGCAGCGCCATTCATAATAGCCAAAAAGTGGAAACCACCCAAATGTCCATCAACTGATGGATGGATAAACAAGATGTGATATAATCATACAGTACAATATTATTCACCCAAAACGAGGAATGAAGTGCTGACACACGCTAAAACATGCATAGACCTTGAAAACGTTATGCTAAGTGAAAGAAGCCAGTCAGAAGAGATCCCCTATTGTATGACTGCATTTACATGAATTGTCCAGAATAATCAGATCCATAGAGACAGAAAGTGGATTAGCGGTTGCCAGGGAGAAGGGGATATGGTGAGTGACTGCTAAAGGGTATGGGGCTTACTTGGGGAGGATAAAAATGTTCTAAATTGGACAGTGGTGATGGTTCACAACTTGGTGAATAAACTGAAAACCACAGGCTTGTACACTTTAAAAGGGTGAACTTTATGGCATGTGAATGATATCTCCATAAGGTTATTTTCTTTAAAAAAAAAAAAAAGACAACTTCCCACATACAGCTGTTATGAAAGTGAAATGAGCAGTCCCTGGTCCTGGCATGTGGCCAGCGTGTGAGAGATGTCTCCCTAAGAAGGTGGCCTGGTGAGGAGTTCAAGGAACAGGGACCCTAGCCTTTTAGAGGGCTGCACCAAGTTCTGGGAGATCCAGAGACAGGAGAGGGGTTCGTTATTACAGATCCGCTTGGCTTGGACTCCGAACAGGACACACACACACTCCTGACTTCACTTTTCTCTCAGTTTCTAAACAAACCAGGTCAAAATGATAAGCACAACCCCATAATCTTTCTTGTCCCCCATAAAAGGAAAATGGGTTGGCTTCCCGCCCAAAGGCTGCCTCTGAGGAGAGAAGCCGGGATGCTCTGAGCACAGGTGGGTCCTCCAGACTCGGGATGACGGCCTGGGGGACCGGGGTGGCTGGGGGCTTCCTCTAGGCCGCACCCTCCACCCCGTGAGCCTCTGACTTCAGCGGGTCTCCCAGCGCCTTCAGCTCTCTGTTCAGCACTTTTTCCCCAGAGATGCCTTTGAGCCCGAGGCCAGGGCAGCTTCTGGGGAGAACAGGAGGGCGGCTGCCTTCACTCGCCGGTCAAAGCGCAGAGTCCGGGCGTCTGTGAGGAAACACCCTCCAAAGCTGTAAGTCCCACGAGGGCAGAGTGGGAGAAGCCTTCCGAAGCTAGGGGGACCCTTCACCTCACGAACGGGACGGGTCACCTGCGGGGGCGGGGCACGGGCTGGCTGGAAGCTCACAGCACCCCTGGAGAACTTCACCCTCCCCTGATTTTCCAGAGATGGAGACACAGGCGCTCACCCAGCTGGGAAGCCACTGAACTGGGACTCAAACCCAGGCCCACAGGTAACCACAAAATGTCAGGCCTGTTGAAGAGCCTGTTCCTCCCCAGTTCTCTTAAAAATCACCCCCAACCCGCCTCTCACTCTCCGCGCGCCCCTTACCTGTGTTCCCGAGGCCGGTGTGGGCTGGAGGCTAGCGGCGCTCAGACTCTGGGGGCGGGCGGGGCGGGGCCGGGAAGAGGGCAGAGAGGCGGGGCCGCCCCCATGACAGGCAGGGGCGGGACGTGACATCGCCCTGGGCCCCACGCTCACCCGCCCACGCGCCCACGCTCAGCCGGGGGGCCCTCCTTCCTGCGGTGCTGTAGGCGCCAGGCCTTCCTGTCTGACTTGGCTACCCTCCGGATGTGCCAGGAGGGCAGATGGGGCGGCTGCAGACCCGAACCCGCCCCGGGCCGGGGCCATGCCCTCTGACTTCAGGGGTGGTTACGTGGGGTCAGTCGTACCACCCTGACGGTGCCAGGCTCTGGGCGGGGAGGAGGTGGCGTGTCCCAGATGCTCCCCACCCGCCTGGGTGAGGCCGACTCAGGGCCCAGCCATGTGGGCCAACCGGATGCTCCCCCAGAGGAGTGAGGTGGGGCTGGCAGCATAAGAGGAGGCCCTGGGGCTCAGGGCTGGGTGGGGGGACTCCTGTGGGTGGGACTGGCAGTGCCCTCTCCTGGTGAGGAAACTGGGCAAAGGCTAGAACATCCACTGCCTTGTGGATCCCAACAGGGTAGGGGGTGGGGACTGACCTCTCAAAGCTGAGGCCGGTCCTCTCACTCACCTCTCAAACACTCTGGAAGCAGGACAGTAAACAAGTCCTACACTGCCATGGGGAGCACCCTGAGGGAGACAGGCCACGGCAGCCCCCATGCGGGCAAGGCCCAGGGAGCGATGGGTTCCCAGGAGGGCTTCCTGGAAGAGGAGTCATCTAAGCTCAGGACTCATCCTTGGAGTCATCCTTGACCCTTTGCTCTCTCATACTCTGGTTCTGACCTATCTGGAAAACCCTGTTGTCCCCACCTTCAACATATTCTGAATCCAGCCTCTTCGTTCCATCGGCTTGGCAACCACCCTGGTCTGGCCACCACATCACTAGTCTCTATGCTCCTGTCTGTTCTCATCATGGCAACCAGAGGGATCTGGTTAAAACTCAAGTCAGCTCATGTCCCTCCTCTGCTCAGCACCCTCCCAGGGTTCACACCTCACTCCCTCCCGTATTTACACAGCCCTGTATGATGTGCCACTCACTCCTTGCTCTCTCTGATCTTGATTTCTATGACTTCCTCTCTCACTCCGCCCCAGCCACCCAGGAATGTGCCCCAAACACTCCAGTCAGGCTTCCTCCTCAGGGCCTTTGCACTGGCTGTTCCCTCTGCCTAGAATGCTTTTCCCTAGACAGCCACCTGGCTCCTTCCCTCACTTTTTCAGGTCTCTCTACTCAAATGTCACCTTCTCCAAGAAGCCTTCCCTGACACCCTGTATACAGTAGTAACCGCCTGCACCACCTTTCCCTCGCATCCTGCTTTACTGCCCACTGTCTGACACACCGTATATTTTCTTGTTATGCATATTTCCTTCTTATGTATTGGTTTGTTCCAGGATGTGGGACAGTGTCCAACACATAGTAGGTGCTCAATAAATTTTGAGGGTACTTCCCCTCTCTGAGCAAATAGGAGTTCACCTCCTGCAGCATCTGGCACAGGGTGGAGGCACAATCTCAGGGCATTTCCTACCTCTCTGCCATGGGCGGATCTCCAGGGCCACGACAGAGCTGCCAGAGGCGCAAGGCAGGTCCAGCTCAGCTCCATCCTGAGGTGACCTCACTGCCCTGCGTGTGTGTGTGTATGTGTGGGGGGGTGATTCATGGGGCAAAATCCCACCATCCTGTGGCCACAGCTGACAGCCCCAGGGAGCCAGCTCAGCAGCTGAGTGTGGCATCTGGCTTCCCTGCATTCTAGAACTGACAGCCAGGGGGGCCCCCCTGACTCAGCAGGCATGTGAATTCTGGAGGCAACAGTTACACAGCTTGGCCTCAGTCTCCACATCCATAAAAATGGGGAGACAGCAGTCCCAATCCATGGTGAGATTATTTGAATGAAGTACTCAGGGCAGTGCCTGGACACAGTCGGCCCTCCCCAGGCCTTGACACTCTTGTGATGAGGCCCTGGGATCCCTCAGGCTGATGGGAACTCCCCAGAGACTTCTTGGGTCTGAGAATGATACCCTGTGGGTGTAGAGGGCAAAGAATGTGCCCCTACTATGAGCACCCTGGAGCCTGGTTCTTGACATGAGTTTTTACTTACTCAGCAAATGGATGCCTCTGAGGGCAGGGCCTGTCTTAACCACATTAAAACATTTATCAAATGAATGCTCTAAATCAGGGACTATCACCCATTTCATGGATGAGAAAAGTGAGAATCAGAGGGGTGAATGATTGCTCAAGGTGACGTAACTGGGATGTGGCTAAGTCAGGACTTGAATCCTGGTTTCCTTGACTTCAAAGGCAGGACTTTTTTCACCCCTCCATGGAGAAACTCCAACCTAACCTCATTTAGAAGCCCCTGTATGTGTCATTTAAATCCATGTTTGAAGAGGTAGCCTCTGGCCTAGACTGGACTCTTTGCCACTCCATATTCTTTGGGAAACAATGGCTGTATCTGATGCAATTTGAGATGGAGTTTAAAATATTCCTAAATCTAGATTAAGCCTGACTCACCCTGGGCCTCTGGATCTCAGTAGTTTCAACTGTTGGTTCTAAGGAAAACCTCTGCAGCTGAAGGCAGAAGTTGGACCTGGTCATCCTGAAAGTCCTCTGACTCTCAGATGCCAGTGTCTCAATGCCTCTTCTAAAGAACAAGGACTAAAGTTAAATTTTTTTTTAAAAGGGGGGGTGGCGGGGAAAAGGTCAACCCTAGCTCATTCTGACAAATGCAAAATGAGGGTTCAGACTCAATTTAAGTGGCTTTCAAACTTCCTTTTTCTTTTTTTAAGCAGAAAGATCCTTTTAACAAATAAAATTTAAGACGTTCTAGCAGATCAGAATGGACTTCTTTCTAGTTCAAGTGGGGATCTTGGGGCTATTGATGGAAGCACCTGCTCAGCATCACCTTGCAGGCAGCCACTGGAGTGCCCACTGAGAACCCAAAGGCTCTAGGGAACCCAGTTTGACAACCACTGGAGGGCAGCAACGCAAACTATCCCTGGAAATCTCTTTGAGGGGGACAAATAGGTCCAGAAAATATTCCCTTTGGTTTCTAGGGGAAACTACCTCTGCTTGACCACATTTTCTTAAAATTAAACTTTTTGAGATAATTATTTGAGATCACCACATGCAGTTTTAAGAAAGAACACAGAGACCCCCATGTACTCTTTCCCAAGCTTCACCCAATGGGAACATCTTGAAAAACTATAGTACAATTTCCCAACCACGATATTAACACTGATACCATCAAAATACAGAACATTTCCATCACCACAAGGACCCCTCATGCTGCCCTTTTATAGCCACACCCACTTTCCTTCTCACTCCTCCCCTCCCTGATCCCCGGCAACCACTAATCTTTTCTCTATTTCTATAATTTTATTTCAAGAAAGTTATAGAAAAGGAACCATACCGTTTGTAACCTTTTGCGATTGGCTTTTTTCACTCAGCGTTAATTCTCTGTAGATTCATCCAGGTTGTTGTATCAGCAGCCTGTTCCTTCTCATTGCTGAGTAATACTCCATGGTACACAGGTAGGGCCCACCCCACCCAGGGCTGCTGGACCCGGTACAGAGGTTAACAGGGAACCTGGCCTCATCTTGAGGGCCTACTGTGAGCTAGCTTGAGTCCAGCACACAGCGGGAGGTTTTAAGAAGGGGTAGGATGCATTCCTGTCTCCATGCCCCTTATAGCCCATCCAGGAAGCAAAACATGTGAAGTGCCACAGTTGTGGAATTCAGAGCCAAGTGAATTTCGTGAACACGCTTCTAACAAAGTAATTGCCAACAGACATCTTTGACACGATCTGGGAAACCTGAATATGGACTAAATATTAGATTATTTATGGGTTTTTGTTATTTTTGTTAGGTGTGACGTTGGCACAGCAGTTATGTAAAAATACCATCTGTTGGCATGGCAGGCTGAAGCGATTACTAGTGACAGGACATTGCGTTTGGTATTTGCTTTAAGCACTCCAGCCTCGGGAAAAATGGGGGAGGGGGAGAGAGGAAGCACGACTGACCAACATTGACAGTAGCGGAAGCTGGGTGATTCGTACGTTGGAATTCATTACATTGTTCTTCCTACTTCTGTGTACGTTAGGATATTTCCATTTAAAAAAAGTCTTGGAGCATGCTGTGTTACTGGACTTACATTCCACATCTGGAGAGAGGCGCTCTTGTCCTACCATAGTGTCTGGACTGTGGTTTCCATTGCTTTGCTTGAAGCCAGTATTTAGCGACCAGACACCAGGAGACTCCTGGCTGCAGCTGCTGTTGTGGAATCTCCCACTTTGGATTGTATCAGCCTTGGTCATCCCATTCTAGTGCTGTCTGGTTTGCAAGTATAGTTCTGCTCTTGAGGAGGTGTCACGAATCTCTGTAAATAAATGTGTGAGTTGTTAACCTTTATGATGAATAGAAAGACTGGAAGGAAGAGAGGGAGGTAGAAAAGAAGAAGGGAGGAAGGAAGAAGGGAGGGAGGGAGATTTTTTAAAAGGCTCTTGAGAGCATCTTGAGATGCAAGACCCAAATGTTTGAAACGGGCTCACCTGTGCTGGAAGGACCCAGAGCCTTCAGCCTGGGAATTCTCCTAAGAGCTCGGGCAGTGACTCACCTGTGAGCGATGTCTGAGCAGACTCAAGCCTGGGCAGATGTCACAGGATGCATCTGTCCTGTAGGCGTGAGGGGCAGACCCAGGGCACCTGATGATGGAGCCTGAGGTTGTGAGTATACAGGCATTCGTGTCTGGAACGCTGGCCCGGTTCTCTGCCTGGAGGATGTACTGCTCCTCAAGGCCTGGCTCACACGTCCCATCCCTCTCCTCTGTGTCCCCACAATCCTTCCCTCGACCATCATACATCAGCATATGTCTCCCCTACAAGGTGTAACGATAATAAAAACAACCAATAGCTACCATTCGCTGCAGGTTTGCCATGTGCCAGGAATTCTGCCAAGAGCTTTGCCTTATTGGGTGGGTGCTA